AAATGGGACACCCTGTATATCAGTTCGTCTTCTCTTTCTACATAAAATAACCTATCTAAGGATACCAACATGTTATTTTTAACAGTTTCTTGATTATTTGTATTTTTCAAATCATTCTTAGGAAATTGCATAAATACCTGCCTAATATTTGAATTTCAAAACGAAAGGAACGACAATAATTACACTTATAATACATGTACGAAATGTCTTCCACCCTCTTCAATACATTTTGTCAATCTCCTCATAAAGTTTGTACTCATGCTGCTCAAATGAAAAGGCATAATTCGTTGAAATGTCTCATGAATTCTCATTTTTATGTCCTCCCATGTAGTAGCAGCAGTACGATAAACCTCCGATTTTACAGTTCCCCAAAGATAAAAATCCTTCGATGTTAGGTCCGGCAACCTAGCCGGCCTCCTAGTCCTATCCACTCATCAGGAAATATTATATTCAACTCCTTTCGACCTACTCTCAGAAAAGGATCTGGTGCCCAATCTAGCTGAAACCACATTCCATTTTTGATACGATTAGGTAGGTGTTCGATGAACCTGGGAATGTCTTCTTTGAGAAATCGCAGGAACTCTTGTCTATTCGGTCCTTGTTCAAAAAAATATGGTCCTATAATACCACAATACCGGCCCATACATACAATAATTACTACTTTGATATTATATTCTTGATTTTGAAAAAAAAATACATATTGTTCATTATAAATCTTGAAATAATTCATAAAACAATCCAGCCATGATATATATTCATACACATATGAATATTATACTACATAATTGAGCTAGGAGACAGATTGATCTGCTTTGAAACAAACTTTTTCGTTTCTTCTTGCAGTATAGATATGATTGATTTTCTTCAGATACTGGATAGGGAGGGTGAGATTGAAACAAATATATGTAATGATATAGAAGAAAGTTTTGGAAATGGTGAGGAAACTATTGAATTAAATGTGGTACACTTCAATATAAGAAGTATGCGTAAACACTTCGATGAATTGATGATATATTTACAATCTACGCTTGAACATATTGATATAATAGTTCTCTCCGAAACATGGGTCATAGAGGAGGTGAGTGATTTCGATATTCCCAACTTCAATATGTATTATAACAATTCGACTATCAATAAAAGTGATGGTTCAGTAGTCTATGTTAAACAAAAAATTAGTGCTGTTGTTCAATTATATGACTTATCTGAAACCAATTTGCTAAGAATAACTTTTGAAACTTAAAATATTTCGATTGGCCCAACCACTATATCTGATCATTTTGCTACTGCCCTTGGAATAAAATTTTCTAATAAATTCAATTCATTGCCAAACCGCACTTACATAAAGAAAACTGATTTTACAAAACTCAAATCACTACTTCAAACTGAGCTATGGACTGACATTTTGCGTCTCAGCAACATACAAGAAACCTATGACAAATTTGAAAATAAATTACAAGAGTGTATTAGCAAATCATCTTTCAGGATAGCTTTGGAAAGTGATAAACAAAAGAAACTAAAACCGTGGATAACAGTTGGCTTGATACATTCTTTCAAACATAGAGGCTATCTCAAAAGACAATTGCTGAAAACCTCTTCGCAAGAAACAAAAACAAAATATACAAGCTATAGAAATAGGTTAACCAAACTGATTAAAACAACAAAGAATAATTATTACAAAGAAAAATTCTCGGAAGTTTATGGTAACACTAAAAAAACATGGCAGTTGATTCATGAGGTATCAAATAATACATCAACAAAAAGAAATATAACAGATATTTCTGTGATATCTCCTGATGGTGATATAATAATTGATAATGTGGAAAAATCAAACGCCTTTAATACATACTTTGTTAGTATTGGTACAGAAATGGCTGATAACATTGACAGAGTTGATGAATTGCCAAACAAATTTTTGGACGACACATCAACCCCTTCTTCTTTATTTTTACATCCAGTAACCGAAAATGAGGTGATCGAAAAAATTTCAAGATTAAAAACCAACGCCTCCCCCGGTCCAGATGGTATCACGTCAAAAACCATAAAAGAAAACCACATCAATCTAATAAAGCCCCTAACACATCTTATAAATTTGGTATTTAAAAAAGGCATCCTTCCCCAACAATGGAAATATAGTATTGTTACTCCGATTTTTAAATCTGGTTTACATGATGAACTAGGAAACTATCGTCCTTTTTCAATAATGAACAATTTTGCCAAAGTATTCGAACAATGCATATAAGATAGACTAATGAGTTTCTTCAATAAAAATTCTACCATCTCACAAAATCAATTTGGTTTTCAAAAAGCTATCGGAACCGAAAATGCAGTACTTAAATTGTGTAGTCAGATAATTTCTCATCTTGAAAATTCGAAAAAATGCATGGCAGTGTTTCTCGACTTAGCGAAAGCATTTGACACCGTTCAACATAACGTTTTATTAGATAAATTATATAAGGTAGGAATACGGGGACCAGCTTTGGATGTTTTGAAGGACTATTTGTCTCATAGAACACAACGAGTAAAAATTGATAATGTTCTGAGTGACTCACTAGAAATCAGTATTGGAGTTCCGAAAGGCACTGTGTTAGGTCCAGTCCTGTTCCTTATATATCTCAATAGTATTTTCCAATTTAACCAATTTCAAGGAAGTCTGGTATCATACGCTGATGACACTGCCGTAGTCTCTAGTGATTCATGGATCAACCTCTACTCTACTGCCGAATGTCAAATCAAAATGTGGCTGAATCATAACCAACCGCAAGATAGATATTTAAAAATACATAAATTCTTTCGTAATGAAACACAATATGATAATAATTGTAACTGTCCTGAAATTGAGAAAACTTGCTCAATGAAATATCTGGGTATTTTTCTAGATCAGCATATGAGATGGGATGATCAAGCTAGATACGTCACAAAGAGGATCAGAAGTCTTTATCACAAATTCTATAGCTTAAGAGATATTCTCAATAAGACAAATTTATTCTCATTGTATAACTTACTAGTTGAATCTGTAGTAAGATATTGCATTATTGTCTGGGGTGGGCTTTACAATGAGCAATTGAAAAATGTCCAATTTGCTCAGAACTCAATTCTGAAAATTATGTTCAATAAAAAAAGACGCTACTCTACTCAAGCTCTATTTCAAGAACTTAATCTCTTCAAGATTAGGAATATCTATGCCTACCAATGTTTAATCTGGATGTTCAAAGGAAAGAAATACTTCCCTATTAATCATAAACGTTCCACCAGATTCACAGAAAACTCCTCAGTTAAAGTACCTTCCATGAGGAAAAGTCATTCTCAAAACAATATTTACTCCTATGGACCCAAACTGTATAATTCAATTCCGACTCAGCTGAAAACTATGAATACCTTTAATTCCTACAAAAGAGCAGTCAAAAATATGATATGTCAAGATAAAAGTATGTATGACTCAGTCTTCAATTAATAATTAACAATCTATAGTTATGTTTGAAGTTTTTTTTTCTCACTCACCTTCCCAAAGTTCAATCAGAAGAAAATCAATCAGCACAGAATGATATACAAACCAAGAAGAACTTTATTTAAAGTCAGGAAATATCAGATACTCACAATACAAGTCCATTGGGGCTTAGGTGATGATGATATGTCCTGGTCTTTTATTCTCATTGTATTTTTATTGTTCCAAACAATATGAAATAAGTTCAGAAACTCCTGTATGATGAAGATATGAATAAATACTTACTTACTTACTTACTCCATTCATGTTGATATTCGTTAACATTAAGTTTATGGGGATTTTCGGTACTATAATAATGATAGTTGTACTATTAACGAATCCATTCCTGTGGAAGGTACTTTCGTCGGTAAACATAATGCTTTTCAGAAATCTTGCATTTTCCGTATTTTATTCTGCATCGTGCGACAGAACTGCACATCGAATACAATAAAAAGAATCTCACTAAGACAATATTGACTGATGAAAACCAATTAGCTATTAGTCTTGCAGTGGTAGAGAATCCTGAGGTGTGTGTAAGGGAAATAAGCAGAGATTTAGAGATATCGAAATCTTCAGTTGCCAGGAGTTTGAAATCTAACAAAATCCACCCTTACCATGTGCAACTGCACCATGAGTTGATAGAAGCCGATTTTATGAAAAGAGTGCACAGTTCTCGAATCTTTCCTTCAATATTATAAAACTTTTCACTTGTGGATGCCTTCTATCAGGATATTTTGCAGCGTGCATTTTGAACATGTATTATAAAGTTATTGTCGTTCTTTTTGTTTTGAAATTCAAATATTAGGCAGGTATTTCTTGCAATTTCCTAAGAATTATTTAAAAAACACAAATGATCAGGAAACTGTTAGGAATAAAATATAACATGTTGGTATACTCAGATAGGTTATTCCATGTAGAAAGAGGAGACGAACTGATATACAGGGTGTCCCATTTGAAAAAATCGCATAAAATTGAATCGAAGTGGACGAAAATGAAAGATATAGTTAAAGCACCCTGTATGAGAATCGATGAAGATGAGAGTATTACACACTACTTTGGTGTTCTTTACGTCAATCCACCAGACAAAATTCAGATCTCCGAAGGAACAGCTCAATCACAGTTATTTCATTCAGAGCCTGCATCACTCCCAATTTTTTCGAAAAAATTAATAACTTGGCAACGGCGCATTGTGACGAGAAAAAAATTTAGTGCTGCGTAGGCAACGAAAGGAGCATTCCAATGACAGAAAAATAAACGGGTTGTTCCATTTGAAAAAAACGTTTTTTTTGTTATTACAGAAAAATGCAACACTCTGTGAATCAGAAATTATTTTTTAAATGTGGCCTTTGTGGTGCCATAAAACTTTGATATAAAACTTTTTTCCATATATTACAGCATAATCGAGATATCGATCAAATACGCACTGTTGGGACACCCGGTATATCTCGGGAGTAGCTTGCATTTATGGACCTTGACGCTACGTTCCATGAAAGAATATTTTACGCCCTTGATACATAAATGATTATAATGCAACAGCTATAAGTGATGATAACGTTTTTCCATTACCTATGATCAGAATCTGGAAAATGAAGGCAACGAATTTTTATTTGAACCAATCATTGTTAGATGACACAGAAATATATATATGGAATAACAAATGAGAATATCAGTGAGTCAACATCTATTTAACAAGTATCTTTACTTTTCTTTTTAGGAGATTCTTCATCTTGAGAACTACTATCATTCGATGATTTTCTTTTCCTTTCCCTCGGTTTCTTTTCTTCATTCGACTTCCTTTTCCCACATTTTTCTTCATTCCTTTCATCTACGTCCATCTCTTTACTCTCAGTGCTCTTGGTTTTACCTAATTTCTCTTCATAGGTCGATATATTCTTCTTTATTTTGCTCGCATCTGGACTATACGCCCACAGAATAATTTCCATATGTTTTTTCGATGGCAAATCTTCTTCCCACATTTCTGAATCATTTTCAGATACTTCTTTGAGGAGTTTTTTCAGCTCTGCATTCCTGATGATATCCCATGTGGGCTCATCGTTACCGCTGGATATTGTACGAAGATTTTTGTATTCGCCCTTGGCTTGATTTCTGTAAGCATTAAGAAAACTATCGATTTGTTTACTTTCTATATCGTATCGATTTCGAAGAGGTAACAAAGCATCTATACAAGCTATTGGGAGGTACGGCCTATTTTCTTTTGACAAATTGTTCAACTCGAATTTCCTCAGCCACTCATCAAAAGTTGCAACCGCCTCATTGATGTTTGCTAATTTATCCTTATCCTTCGTCACTGCAAAAATAAAGAAATTGAATTAATAATGGAATGTCCATTAAGATTTTAGATATATCAGTTAATTTTTTCACGACGAAAATCGTTACTCATGTTATTTGTGACCGTCGATATTCTTTAGATTACCTCTCACTGCTATGCACAATGGCAGTAATGATTGTCAGATAGGAAATACGAATGTATCATGGTTTTATTTTTTATGAGTGAGAGACGAAAGAACAAAAACTAAATTTCACGGCTCACTACTTCGATCATTATTTATGTAAACCCTGTGTTTATGAAATACCATTAGAAGTTTACACATCTGCAATGCCAAATGGAAAATGAAAATAACGCATTTTTTACGAAAACAGACTGGTGATTGAAATGGACGACTGAGTTGCCACGAAATTTCCAGATTCAGATCTACGATCGTTGTCATGAAAAAGAGAATATGGTGAGCGATTCGATCATTGAATTGGGTGGTGGGCAAAATATTATCGATTAATTTTGGGTTTGTTATATCCTTGGCTAATTATTCAGAAAACAAATATCACTTACAATTTCGAGTAAGTTATCATGAATATATGAACTCTTCTTTGAATGCTTTTTAACGACGATGATGGTAGATCCCAATAAGCAATTTTTTTATGGTGATAACAGTTTCTTCAGAGGAAAACTCAGCCATCTTTGTCTATCACTAGTCTCTTGATGGAGAGGGAAAGTTACTGGTGTTGCATTATCTTCAGAAACTCACTAGATGTTGACTATTTCCAATGGTTGATCATAAACACATACTTGCATAGGATGATTATTTGACGAAAATTTTCATATTTCAGGGAAAAGTTCTCCGATTCAACAAAATGAAATAACGAGATATGCACTGTTCTTCAAGACCACATGGTAAAGCAACTGAATAACAAATTTTCATTGGTGAAGATTGCTCAAATACCATTCGCTATGTTGGCGGAAATTGATATCGTGGCAGTTGCGGACGAAGAAATTGAAAATATATTATTACAACAAGATGTTCAAGATTTTGCAGTAGGTACAAGAAACTCATATTGAAAATAAAGAAGAATGAAATTTAGTAGAAGTCATATGCTTTTTTATATCGCTTGGAGCTTACAAAAGGAAATCACAGGAGGTAGGTATTGGATTTTTTTTTTGAACTTCTGGAGATTATATGTTGTTGGGAATACTTCCTCAAGCAATGAATTCCAAAGCCTAGCCGTTCTATGGATGAAGGAGTTTAGATAAAGTGCTGTTCGACATCTTTCGAGGTTGACAACGAAAGGATGTGCTGACTGGGCATGTCTAGTTCGTCTGACTGGTCTCACTAGTAAAGGGATGATAGCGGAGATTTCTAAAGAACATTTCCCGTGGAAGTATCGATAGAACAGTGAAAGGTCGCCGACCTTTCTACGGTGTTCCAATGATGTCAAAGAGTGAGTTAGTGAGTGTGGCGTCACCCACCAGGCGAATGGCTATCCTCCGGATGGATTATAAGAGCATCAGCGTATGTTTTGGTGCTGAACCCCATATGTGGGAACAGTATTCAAGAACAGGCCGTATCTGCGCTTTGTAGATCATTAGAAGCTGTTGAGGTGTGAAGTAGCATTTCGCACGAAACAAGAATCCGAGTTTTTGTGAAGCAGCTTTTGCGATGGATCTGACATGATTATCCAATGAAAGAGTGTTGCTTATGGAAATACCGCGCGAGCATAGATATGGAGTGTAATTTTTCAAAGGAAGGAGAAAAGAAAGGAATGCGTCACTGGATTTCATTGATAGTGGAGAATCGTAGAGGGGAGAATGTGGTTTTTCTGAATAGTTTACTATATTTCAGAATACTGCTGTGAACGTTTTGAGGAAAAAATCGGCAATCGGGTTGAAAGATTGTCTTTGCCAGAAGTATTTGAAACTGTATATACTATATGCGAAGCAACGTTGTTCAGAGTTTTGGCGTAGGACGACGGTACAGCCAACATAAGTTCCTGAAAACTTGAAGCTCATGAAATGAAATTTAGAATTCATGACAAAATGGATATTCATCATAAAGGATATTCAAGTTTGAACCCCTTGATTGGGTGAAAGTTTCGAAAAGGAATATTCTAAGATAAAATTATGAACAAGTAAAAATGGATATATATATATACAGGGTGTCCGCTGAAAGGAGGTCAATTCATTAACCATATATTCATTGAACAAGAACAATATGAGTTTCTCAATACAATTCTTCATTTTAGCCCTTCATATTCGATGTACAGGGTGTCAAAGTTGGAAATTGAAATACTCGCGTATTTAATCAGATATCAATCTCAAAATCGGTACACTACTTCAGCACAAAGAACTACATTGTGTGAGGAAAACAGAACAGAAAATATTTCCGAAATACTGGGGGTCAAGTACACACTCACCCCCATATATTTTTTGTACATGCGCTAATGACTTCCTATCTATTTTTCGTCAAGTGTTCAATCATTTTTGTGTATTTTTTGTCTCTTGTGAAATTTCGATTAGCTCATTTGTTTGTGAGATACGGGAAACTGAGAATGAAATCGGAAAAAATTTAAAGAAAATATTTTCGAAAATTTCAGGTGAAATTATGATATCCATGATCTTGATAGCTACTTGATGGGAGGAATTGTAGATCAGGATTGTCTGGGGATGTATGGAAGATTTTGTGTAAAAGCCACATATTTTTCATATAGGCTAAGATTTATTTCCTTGATTGACAGGGCTCGCATGTGTATTCAAAAATTGGAGTTCATATCGAGCAATTTATTTAGACGTGTTGAATTTGTATCAATTTTTTTTTGTAAAAATGATTTCATCACATTCGCTCTGAGCACCCGGTATTTCCATATTCACGTTTTCGTACGTGGAAAGTTACGCCATCTTTCAATTTCGACGAAATAAATAGGAGTATGTGAACATTATGAGATTACCGTGAGCCGCATAGGCATCAAACAATAACCAGTACTTTTCGAATTATCTTGAAAACAAATTATTCTATCGAAATTTTACAGGAGACAAAAATTACTCGAAAATGATTGACCACTTGGAGAAAAACAGGTTTGAAGTCATTAGCGCACGTACAAAAAAAAAATGGGGGTAAGTGTGTACTTGACCCCCAGTATTTTGAATATTTGACAGTTATTTTCTGTTTTGTTTTCCTCACACGATGTAACTCTTCGTGCTGACGTAATGTACCAATCTTGAGAATGATATCTTATTCAATACGCGAGTAATTAGAAAAAAATAGTTTCAAATTTCCAACTTTGACACCCTGTATATCGAATATGAAGGGCTAAAATGGAAAATGGTATTCAGAAACTCATATTGTTTTTGTTCAAGGAATATATGGTTAATGGATTGACCTCCTTTTAGCAGACAATGCAGTGCAGATAAAATTATTTTTAAATTGGTTTCATGAGTATTCAAAACTCTAAATATCACGCTATTTTTTTTTGTCAATTTGCTCGACGATTTGGTCTCGGATTATGAATATCTAAACATTTCCTTCAGAAAGAAGGTTCTCTTGTTCCATGTTGAGTAGATGAATCATTCTAATAAAATCGATTAGAAAATATCATTACAGCTCAAGAATAACGCCCAATATTTCAATATCAAATCGTAGTGGCTATGGAAAAAAAAATGGGTAACAGTTAGTTTTGATATTTGTCATATTTGTTGACACGCATGTTTTGCAGAACACACTAAGCAATTGATATTTGAATGAACATTGTATTGTTACAAAATGCCACAATTCACAAATCAGGAATATGCAGACATACATTTTCTGTACGGATTTTGTAATGGCAATGCACGAGAGGCTGAGCGGGAATATTGAAGGAAATTTTCGAATAAAAGAATACCTGGGCGACGAGTGAACGTTAATATTCATAAAAACTTCAGGGATCATGGCAATTTTCAATGTGTTCCTGGGCAAGGAAGACTTTAAGAGGACATAACATGGAGAATATTCTAGATGTCATAAGAACTGTATCCAGAAATTTCAAAAGGCGTAGGGCAACAGTAATGTGGAATTTGAGTACACAGCTTGGCAATGAAATAACAGTTGATTGATTTCAGATAGAGGGAATATTACAAATTCAAGGAATTCATCCATTTCACTACCAACGTGTACAGGATTTATTGCCATGCGATTTCCACCTCAGGATTCAGTTCTGCCAAAGGATTTTGTTTGAAGCGACGAATCCATCTTCACCAGAAACGGATAGTTCAATATGCACAACACCCATGTATGGGCAAATGATAATCCCAGAGTGGTTCGACGTTCTAATTTTCAACATCGTTTCTCTGTAAAGACAGGGGCAGGAATGATAGGGGATCAGTTAATTGGTCCTGTTGTCCTACCTAACCGCCTGAATGCTGATGAGTATCATAACTTTCTTCAGAATATCCTATGCATTCTTTTGGAAGATGTACCTACCTTTCAATGTACGGCAAAATATGTATTACCAACACGACGGGGCTTCAGCACATTATGAACAGCGCGTAAGGGCATGGTTGAGTGAGACTTTTCCAGGAAGGTGGATAGGCCGTGATGGTCCCATTCTCTGGCCACCACGTTCACCCGACCTGAACCCTCTAGACTAGTATTTATGGGTTCATATGAAAGAGTTGGTTTTTGAAGCTGGAGTGAACACACCTGGAGAATTATTTCAACGAATAAAGTTGGCAGCAAATGAACTCATCATGCAATGGGGGCGTTCTTCACGTATAATGTATTAATTAGTATTGCCTTCAGACATGTCAAGAACAGACGAATGAAGAACACTAAATATTACCGCACTTCAATGGCATTATCCAAATGTTTTTGATTAATATAAAATCGACATATTTTTTTCAAGGATATTTTCTGGTCTCAGATTCAGAATCCTTCATATTTCATACCAATGAAAGAACTCCTCAAAAAATGGATGTGTCCTATTGTTCACCATGTATCACAGGTATTCACTAGCTGTCGCTGTTCAGTAAATGTCTCTAAAATA